AACTCCTTTCAATGGCTTCCAAATATGTGGTTTTGTCTTGGTCATTGAAACACAGGGATACCAAGCAAGGTCAAGAGTGCAGGCAATGCTAGGCTTTGCTGTGTAGCAGGTGCCCTGTTTGGGTACAGGCAGTCATCTTTGCTTTCCCAGCCCCAGCAGGATCATAGAATCAGGTTAAAACTGGCCTGGAAGGGAGCTATGATGAAAAAACTCTGGTTGGTGTTTGGTACTGAAGTATCAAGAACTCTTGATACTGAAGTATCAAGAACAGCCTGGAGACTGTCTCAATCCTGATGAAAACAGCAGTGGAAAACAAGGAATCTTACCTCCAGGCTGTGTCAAGAAGATGTGAGCAGGTACGGAGTGAGAGCTTTGATGCCACACAGGCAGGACAGTACAGCGCTTTGCCCTGTCTGATGGCAGATAATTCTGGTAGTGGCATAAGGATGTGGAAAGTGGCAGGGGAAGGATGTTGAGGTTGGAAGGGCTGCGGCCTCCCTTTGTCCCCATACAGTGTAGGAAGTGCCTCTTGTTCTGGTTTCAGAATTTTGACCACTTGTCAGCAGTCACTGTACACTGCATCACCCTTACTTTTCTGCTCTCCCTGCATCATGGATATGACTTACATTGAAGCTCTTGAACATCCTGTCGGAGCCCTTTTTTTCTGAGTGATCTCTGCTTGCTTGCTTCTTGAGCAAAAAGAGAAATTTTGAAATCTCCTCTGTCTTAAGAACTCTTTTTTTTCATACAAAAGTTTTTCTCCCTTTGTGAAGAAAGCAGCCTGATTAGCAGCAATTAACAAAGCAAACTGCAGTAATAACCCTTAGAGTAAGTTCTGTGCAGTGTCTTTGAATGCTCTGAAGGAGAATGAGCCAGATGTTTGGGATTTCTACTCTGTGACACAAGGCCAAGATAGGACGTGATGCAGAGGGAGATGTGCAGATGGGGCTGTGCTAAACGGGCAATAATAGTGACTGGTTTCTCTGGGCCTGATTCTGCTGAACTTCAGATGAGCAAACCCCCATATTCAGAGTATCTGCAAGCACTGCTCCGAACACTGATCAGAAAGCCAGGCCTGGGCTGCAGGACCCAGCACTAGTTGCAGAGAAGGCTATGCACTTGGAGCTCTGCAGCTTCTTGCACCACAGCACAGAATCACAAAATCACAGAATGCTTGAGGTCGGAAGGGACCTCAGAGGTCATCTAGTCCAACCCCCCTGCACACGCAGGGTCACCTAGAGCACGTGGCACAGGGCTGCATCCAAGCTGGTTTTAAAGATCTCCAAAGAAGGAGATTCCACAACCTCTCTGGGCAGCCTGTTCCAGGGCTCTGTCACTCTCACAGGAAAGGAGTTCTTCCTCATTTGGAGATGGAACTTCTGGTGTTTCAATTTGTACCCATTATCCCTTGTCCTATCACTGGCCACCACCGATAAGAGTTTGATCCCCTCCTCTCTACATTCTCCCCTCAGATACTTACACATATTGATCAGATCCCCTCTCAGTCTTCTCCAGACTAAACAGGCCCAGCTTGCTTAGTCTTTCCTCATATGATAGACACTGCAGTCCCTTAACCATCTTCATTGCTCTACATGGGACTCTCTCTAGAAGCTCCATGTCCCTCTTGTCCTGGGGAGCCCAGAGCTGTCCCCAGTGCTCCAGGTTTGGCCTCCCCAAAGCTGAGCAGAGGGGCAGGATCAGGATCCCCTCCCTGCCCTGCTGCCGACGTCCTCCTGATTCAGCCAGGAGCCCATTGGCCTCCTTGGCCATGAGGGCACTGCTGCCTCATGGACAACTTGGTGTCAAGCAGACCTCCCTAATCCCTCTTCACAGAGCTGCTCTCCAGCAGGTCAGCCCCTAATCTACGCTGGTGCCTGGGGTTATTCTTCCTCAGGTGCAGGATCCTGCACTTGTCCTTGTTGAGCCTTATGACGTTCCTCTCCGCTCAACACTCCTGCCTCTCCAGGAGGCAGCACAGCCCCCCGGTGTGTCAACCACTCCATGCAGCTCTGTAACTGCTCTTCAAAGTCTGCAAGCTCTGCAAACGTGCTGCGGGTGCGCTCTCTCCCTTCATCCAAGTCCTCCCAGGACTGACCCCTGGGGGACACTGCTGGCCGCAGGCCTCCAACTGGACTGGCACCGTTTATCATAACCACCTGAGCTCTGTCATCCAGCCAGTTGTCAATCCACCCTCTCGCCCACGCATCTAACCCACACTTCCTGACCTTCCCCATAAGGATATTATGGGAGACAGTGTAGAAAGCCTTGCTGAAGTCAAAGTTAGACAACATCCATGGTTCTCCCCTAGTCCATCCAGGCAGTCCTCCTGTAAAACTCTTAGAATCCCCTGGCTCATCTAGTTCCTTCAGTCAGTGTGTGGCTTGATTTACAGCTTTCCCTGTCTTGCTGCTGTGCAAGAGTACATTCAGCAGAACAGTGCATTCAGGTATTGCTTTCCCATGCATCATCAATAATTCTCTTTTCAGCTAGTTCTCAGGCTTCGCCTTTTTAATCCAGCTGTCTCCTGATTTACGGATAATCTTCCCTCAATCACTTACACCAAGCTGCTGGGCTGTTTCTATTCATCTCAGGAGCACAACGAGGAAGCTGTACATTCAGCTGAGCCTACAGAAATACAGCAGCATGCACAAGAACTTGCACCAACACAGCGCTGCTGCTCCATGAAGGGTTAGTCTCCGCTTAAGCCTAAGAGATCATGTTGGTATGAGGTGGCTTCACTCTTAGATTTCACCACTGAGCACATCTCAGATTTAACACACGGGTCCTTCAGGCATAGGTTTAGTATGTCAGCAGACCAGCCTCCTCAGACTTCATCAGAGGATGAAGGTCAGTTCTTCTGTCCAGTTCCCTCTCTCCCATCTGGTGCAGCTACAGGGATGATATCTCAAAAGGCATGAGGGGAATGCCTGGGACATGCAATGTCCCAGGGAGGACATGTCCCATGAGGGAAATGAGGGACATGCCTGGATGTCTTAGAAAAGCAAGATTGAGAACAAGCAGCCTATGCCTGTTCCTGCTGCAGCAGTTGCTGAGCCCTGTCTGGTCCTTGGGGCATAGATTGTGTTTAGAAGAAGTCACACAAGCAGTGATGAGTCTCAGTGAATGTCTCTGCATTCACTGGAGAGCAAAGGAGAGTCCTCTGCAGAACAGATCTTACAAGAAGGGAAAATATTGCTGTGTCTGATCCTGCATTCAGGAGGCAGAAGAATGATTTCACAGTCTGGGACTTCACAGGGACTGCCAATGAAGTCCCATCCTTGAAAGGAAGTAAAATCAGAGCTGAAAGTTGCAAGATCCCCTTACTTGGGGAAAAAAAAAAAAAAGAAAAAAAAAAAAGAAAGAAAAGAAAAAGGCTATGGGGAGCATCCTGTGGAATGGGAAAGCTTGTCCACTCCAAAACCTCACAATGGGAACAACGTTATCCTTATTCAAACCTGGGATTTTCTACTTCCATTTTGAAAGATGACCTTTTGGAGCAATCCTCTCTCTCCTGCTGCCTGCTCCTCCCAGAGCTCCACCATCTCCTGCACTGATGCACATGCTGCGCATCCCACAGGCAGTTCCACTGAGCTGCTTCCCAGACTAGGGGCCAGCTCAGGCTATTCCTGCACCATGGCCATTTTATCTCCACTTTTTAATCTTGAAGGCTCCCCTCAGATTAAAATGGAGGGACAGGCTGGCCCCTCCCTGGATTTACTGCAATGCAATTTTCTTCCTCTAATCTGATCAGGGTGCAAGCTGCTCTTTTCAAAATGCACACGGAGGCTGAATGTGCATGACACTGGTGCTGTGAGCTAGACTGACTGGAAGCACTGGGAAGCTGTCCTGTTCTCTAGATTGGTAACACATTGGCTGCTATCATGGCTTGAACACTATTTCTTGGGGCCTCGGGGAACATCCAGGTAAAGTGCCAAGTACGCCTGCAGCTGTAAGGCAAAAGGTTTGCTTCTGGGCAGAATATATAGTTCTCTAGCATACTGGAATCTGTGGGTCTTTCTGGACACCGTCATCAAGCTGAAGTCCAGTCTTTGGTCTGCAGCTCTCCAGTCTTTGGTCTGTGGCTGTCTCTGACAGCCACAGAGACCCCAGAGTTAGAGGAACAGGGCTGTCCATCTCAACAGGACCCTGAGGGTGGAAAACTCAGCAGAGATTCAGATGACATCTGAGGTTTTGTCCTTTGCAGTGTGACTGCCATCCAGTCACAGTGGATTGGTTGTTTCTGGCTAGCTCATGAATCAGTAGTTGCACATAGGGATCAAGAAGCCAGGGATTGATGTTGAATCCTTGCCAAGTTCCTTCTTTGCCCATGTACCATGCTCTTCTGAGAGACCCAAGGGCGGAGATCACTTCTCTACACATGACTTTGCAGAGACTTCTCTCTGCAAGGCATCTCTTGGTCCATCTGATGAGCGCCTTATATGTGTGCATGCTCAGTGTGGCTAGTGAACAGCACAGTGTTAGGTACCAATGCTCTTGGGCAGTCAGCACACTGACTTCTTCCTGGATTGACCAGACTGGCCTTGGGTGAGGCACCTTCCCTTATTGTTTTGAATTTGCAGGAGGCATGAAGGAGGGCAAAACTGGCAGTGACCATGCCAGGCTGTGGCACTGGGGGGAATACGAGCAGCAAAGCATATCCCAGTGCTCCCACAGTGCAACCCAAGATGATAACCAGTATTTAGGCAGCCCTGCTTGATGTGTTCTCACGAGGAGCAGTGATATGAGGATCCACGGGAACCGTAGAGGGCTGAGGGAGAGCAACGTCTGTGGGAAATAGAGGGTACTTGGATCATCAAGGAGTGTGCTCCGAGCCTGATGGACAGTGACATATCTGGGATACGTCCATTTCAGTCCTCACTGTGTAGGCCTGAAGGAGCATAGCATGGGGAAGCACGATTTTTCTGCAATAAGTGAAGAGATTGAATTTACTTTATGCCTCTCTGAACTCACCCTTTTCTTTGTCCTTCTCAGCCCAAGAAGACTGGTGAGCGGTGTCCCAAGGCCACTGCCCGGCTTGGCTGTACCCATCCTGCAGCCAGTGCACGGACGAGCATCGTTCCCCAGCTCATGAATGAAAACAAAGTCCTGGCAGCAGCGGGGCATCCTGCGCAGGAGCACAGGACTGTGAGTGCTCGGGGAGCTCTAGTGGGTGTAGGGCCTGGTGCAGGAACAGGGCAAGGGGGCCCCGTTCCTGCTCCTGGTGGGCTCCTTGGGGTGAAAAGCAAAAGGAATTGGTGGGTCTTGGAAAATTCTCTGATTCTCTTTTCTCATGTCACGGTGGTTCTAGGAGGCAAAAAGAGCCTGAGTGAGGAGCAGCAGTAAGAGGAGCAGCGGCACTGTAGGGGAAAACGAAGGGCGCTGTTTGGGATGCACAAGTGAGCTGATAGGAGATGCTGGTGTGGCCTCAGCTTCCTCGGGTAGCAGGTGGCTTGGGCCCAGAGCAGCTTGGTGGTTCTGCTACTGATGTGTCTGGGAGCCCGAGACAGCTGCGCTGGTGTGTGACAGTGTCTGCTCTGGGAAATGCCCGTTAGCAGGGAACACTGCAGCAAGAGCACTGGAGCCTCGGGGGTTTTTCTTACAGTGGAGGAAGTTCTCCTTGGGACCTTCTGGGCAGTGGAGGCCAGGTTAGTCACTCATCAAGTGGCAGGAGAACTCCACTCTCATCCCCCAGAAGGATGTCCAGTGGGAGCTATGGGGCTGCCCCTCACTGCAGCAGGGCCAGCTCCCTGCTCGGTGCTCCGCTCTGCTACTGTTGCTCCGTTCCGTGCCTCTGGCAGTGCCTTCAGCCACACGCAGCTTGACTGACCATCTGAATCAAACCATGTGTATGGTGGTCTCTTCTAGAGGGGCAGGAGGAGGACACAGCTGCTTGATCTTCTCTGGTGAACCAGAGAAAGAGGATTCTGCGGAGTATGGCTAAGATTTGCTTTGCCATCTGGCTTAATCTTGGCATGTCTGTGCATGGGACAGAGACTGCTATTTCCTGAGTGGGGTCATCCAATTCGGTAGCCCAGTAAGAAAACATGCCTAAGCATGTGAAAAGCATGTGGTTTCCCCGCCACGAGAGAGAAATTGAACTTCTGTTTGCCCAGGGACAGGCTCTGGATTCAAGGAATATTGTCACAGTTGCTTAGGTCCTTGAGGAAGCAATTTGTCCTGAAAGCAACAAACACTTATGAGATAGTAAACAGGCAGGGTAAACCTATGGAAGAAAGATTACATGCTTCATCCACATCAGGAGTGAGCTCCTGCCATGCCTTGGCTTGTGACACTGGCTCCATCAGCAGCTCAGCCAAACCTGGACTATCAAAGGTTTTTATTTGTCCTTCTAAAAGGTGGAAGATGGGGAAAAAGTAAAACTCAGAAAGCCCCAAGAGCATGTTAGAGGCTTGTCTGGATTTTCTACCAGGAGCCTGGGAGTTTGGCCCTACTACCTGGACTAACAGCAAGCAGCTGGGCAAACCCAAAGGGTGGTGGCAAGGGAGGGAGCGCAGGGTCTGGCACACAGTCTGGGCCTTGCTGCTGTTTGTGAGCAAATAACTGCCCTGCCAAAGAGTAAAGACTGCCTGAGAACTCAGGATCCTCATTGCGTGCTGCTTTCTCAGCAGTTGCAACAGCTGCTAAAAACTTTCTCCAAGCTGTGCTTATAGCGAAATATGTGATGCTTTTATAATTTTTTTGGTCTTTTTGCTTACCACCTGGGCCAATAGAACAGCGTCTTTGTAGCCTTCTGGAGTTATTTAGAAGGAAGAGGTATGTGGCTTTCTGGAGAGCCAGGGCTGACATACAGGGAGATTTCTTTTTAACATCAAGTCTCCAGCTGACAGGGGAGAGACCTGCAAGGAGATGTGGTGATGGGACAGAGGCTGGCTGTGTGTGCAGAGGGATGGGCTGTGCACCAAGGAGCTGCTGCATTGGATTGAGCAGCAGGTCGTGTAGAAAAGACCCTGCTTTGCACCATCTAGGAAGGACCTTCTCTAACTGTCCTTGAGACTTTCCTTTCCTAAACCTGAGCATGTGGAAAAAAAGCAGGGCAAAAAAAAAGCAAGCCCCCCCAGAGACCTGAGAGGAACGATCACAGTTCCTACTGGACACAAAGGTGGATGGGGACGCAGAGAAGAAATATCTTCTTAGGAGTAATCACGGTGATCTTTCGTGGGCAGGGGGATACCCACACTGTGCACGCACCTGGGTCTGCCCCTCTCCGTAGGACGCGTGGTGCAGGGTGAGCAGCCTTTGCAGCCAGCCCTGGATCCCCTCTCCGCGAGAGGGCTGGGCTGTGGGACCAGGGGCTTTGCCGGACCAGCTGTCCTTGCTTCTCCACTCCCTGGTAATTGCCCATCCGTCTCTTCCCCTTAACAGCAATTGCTTTTTTCCTCTCACTTTTTTGTCCCTTTTTTTTTTTTTTTTATGCAGGTGACACGTATTTGTTTCAGAGCATTTAATTACCTCTTGGGATGTGTTTCGTTTATTCATTAAAGCCAAAATTGGAGTTGTCCGCTTTGCTTTATTTTGATTGTTTTAACCTCTTTTATTTTCTTTCTCTATTTTGCAAGGGAAGGATGAGGGGGAAAAAACCAGCTTCCTCCATTATAAGTGTGACTAGCTTCTCTCTAAGTCCCACCCTCTGCCATAGCTCATAAGTGGAGAACATGGGTGAGCAGGAGGGATCCTGTCCATTGGGGCAGGAGTATGATGGTCTGCTGGCACCACAGCCCCCACGAGAACTAGAAAGTGAATTGCTCTGATGGTGCCAAGCCAGCATGGGTAGCACTGGAACATGACAGCCACGTGCCAAGTGTTCTGGCACAGGGCATTTGAGTGCTTGACTGGGGAGACCTGTGGTCTGCGCCATGCCATGCCCAGGAACCTGCACTGGGCAGGAAGGAACAGGCCATACATTATGCTGCCTGGTGCCCTCCGCCACTGCCTGATGCTGGGGAAGCTGCATAAGGCAACAGGAGGGCTCAGAGACCTCATTCGTCCTCTCTTACCTGGCAGAGTGAAAGGAGGAAAGTCCTGTAGATGTTTCTGCTCATGTTTCTGCTCATGTTTCTCTGAGGGTTGAGGGCCAAGATTTGGGCACAGAACATATGCTCCTTTCCTGCCTGGGCTCCTCCTGTATGACTGATTGACACCAATGAGGTGACATGGCAGGGAACCCCTTGCCCATGGTATTAGGAGTTGCTGTAGCTGCCAAGCATGCTGGTCTGCAGGTGAAGGTGCTGGCATACCAGTGGTCGTAGTGGGTGAAATACCAGGAGGTCAGTGAGGTGCACTGAGAACTGCCTGAAGGGCAGACATCAGAGGGTTGTGACCAGTAGCACAGAGTCTAGTTTGAGGCCTGCAGCCGGTGGTGTCCCCCAGGTACCAGGACTGGCTCCAGTGTTGCTCAACTTCTTCCTCAGTGACCTGGATGAAGGGACAGAGTGCCTCCTCAGCACGTTTGCTGATGATATCAAGCAGGGGGGAGTGGCTGTTACCCCAGAGAGCTGTGCTGCTGTTCAGAGGGACCACAACAGGTTAGAGAGAGGATGGAGTGAAACTGTTTTCTGTGATGTCCAGCAATAGGATGAGAGGCAGCAGGCACAAACTGAAACATAAGAAATCCCATCTGAACGTAACGAAAAACTTCTTTACTGAGGGTAACATAGCACTGGAACAGGCTATCCAGAGAGGTTGTGGTATCTTCCCTGGAAATGATTCAGAACTCACCTGAACACAATCCTGTGCAACATGCTTTAGGTGACCCTGCTTCAATAGAGGGTATGGACTAGATGATCTGCAGAAGTCCCTTCTAACCTCAACCCGTCTGTGGTTCTGATTCTATGATCTCTGCCAGCAAAGAGTCCTTCTGGCCTGAACTTGGTATAGGCAACTCTCCCTTACCAGCACTGTCCTACTCAGCTAGCACCCTGTGTTCCCGCTCCCTCAGACCCTGGCATCTTCCCTTAGCATTAACCTGAGGAGATGCTTCACACCTCCCGCCCCCGCTCGTTCAGCCAGAATAAAAGGAAGTACTAGGTGAGAGCTCAGACCTGTTCTCTCCTCCTTCTGCTATTACATGGGCTGTGCTTGATTCCACTCTCTGGCTCTGTGGGGCAGGAATAGGGGATTTGACGGGTGTGGGTAGAGAGCTATAATCTCTGCTGAATGAAAGAGCTCTGCAATCTCAGGAGACACTGACCGGGAAGGATATGTGTGTAGGTGGACTGCTAGATCAGCTTCCTATATCCTTTTCACTTGGCATGATGGTGTGGTGACCCTCAGCTCTAGCCCTATTGCTAGAGATGCCCTCCCTGATGAATTATCCCACTCGGAAGGAGAAACTGCAGGAGCTGAGCACAATATTGGGATACATGGTATTTCTTTGATACAATAGAATCATAGAATCCTTAAGGCTGGAATTCTGTGATTCTGTGGAAGGGACCTTTAGAGATCACCTAGTCCAACTCCCCTGCACATGCAGGGTCACCTACAGCATGTGTCACAGAATTGTGTCCTGGAGGGTTTTGAAGATCTCCAGAGAAGCAGACTCCATAACCTCTCTTGGCAGCCTGTTCCAGGGCTCTGGCACCCTCACTGTTAAGAATTTTTTCCTTACGTTCCTGCAGAACTTTTGGTGCTTCAGTTTGTGGTCATTTCCTCCAACTGTGGCCACCACTGAAAAGAGGCTGCCCCATCCTCCTAACTCACTCCCTTGAGGTATTTCTAGACACTGCTCAGGTCCCCCCTCAGCCTTCTCTTCTCCAGCTTGAACAGGCCCAGCTCTCTCAGGCTTTCCTCACAGGGCAGAAGTTCCAGGCCGCTGATCATGATCTGGACTGTGTCTAGAACTGGACTCAGTCTCCAGATGTGGCCTCACCAGGGCAGTGTAAAGGGGGACGATCACCTCCCTCGACCTGCTGGAGACGCTCTTCTTAATGCACCCCAGGATCCCATTGGCCTTCTTGGCCATGAGGGCACACTGCTGCCTCACGGTCAACTTGTCGTCCACCACGACACCCAGGTCCCGCTCTATAGAGCTGCTCTCCAGCAGGTCAGTCCCCAGTCTGTCCTGGTGTCTGGGGTTATTCCTCCCCAGTTGCAGGACCCTGCACTTGCCCTTGTTGAACTTGCTGAGG